CTATGATTACATATTTGGCGTCCCTGAGCCGGTTTTCTTACAGTACTGTGAAATGCAGTTGTCTGCACTTCTTAATCCAACTGACATCCAGCTGTCGGGAGTGTAACACAGGAATGGCATTAAAAAAAGTCACTAGTGAAGAACGGCTTACCCTTGGCATCTTTATAACTGCATCAATGGTTCGGGAGGATGTTGCTGCAAAAATCATTTTGATTTGTTTGGATGGGTTGTTGCGCCTGTCCTCAGAGAAACCAGCCATATAGGATACACCAGGTACATAGTCAAACAGTCTGTAGGCACAAAGAGAATTGGTTTTGCAATGAAAATAAAAGCAAAACAGAGTCCTATACTCTACAGGAGCAATCTTGAGCCAAGCTCGACTTCTCTTAGCCAATCACACCTACCCTACAAGCATTTTGTCAAGGGAACATTTGTGATTGCTCAGACAAAGTCTTTCATTACCTTTCTTAATACTGCATACATGTACAGTATATAGGCCGTGATGAATTCAGTTTTCATCAGCCCAGTAAAAAAAAGTTACTACGTATTTGACAAAAAATGGACAGCCTCCAAAAAAGGGGCTACCTGGATACTTATTATCTTTTCATAACAATAAATAACCACAACATACCCTGTATTAGTTATAACCAAGCAAATTTAGCAATATATTTGTCATTTTCAAGGTGTGTTTCAGGAATAAAGTCCTAATACAGGATTTCAGATGACTTCTAAAACAATCTATTACCTCTTTCTCTAATGCATGACAATATTATTCTTACTGTATGTGTGATGGTGTATCAGTTTATTACTGAAGACAATTATTACATTTGTTATGGAAATTCAATAAAATATTTTATAGCTAAATTTATAGCAATACCTAAATTAATAAGGCAAAAAACTATTACTGTATATTGATGTGGGATGATTTGTAAATACTGTCTACTTTTATGAATAACTTTCAACTTATATTAAGTCACACATTACATTACATTACATTCTCTTTTTGGATAATGGACTGCATTTCAAGGAATAAATTGAAATTGCATGTGAATGTACAACAATACGTTATAAATGTACACACTGTAGAAGTAAATGACCTGAGGAAAATCAACAGTCACGTCCTTAAAAAAAAACAAAGATCAGGAATACATACATTTTAGAAACGTGCTTCACTATTCCAGCAATCTTTCTCCACTTGATTTTGAGCTGCACAGCAGGGTTGTGTGCTAAACGACCAGTTTCTGCCTTGACAACAGCTAAGTACTGTTGGCAGTCCTCTCCCCAGCTCATCTTGGCCTTGGGTGAAAAAAAGATAAATATGACACTATTAACTGGGAAAGGGGGAGGTGGAAAAAATCTGACGTTGTCAGTTTGGCGTATCTTACCATGGCTTTGTGCTGGCTGAGCATCATTCCATCACCGCACATTTTCCAGTTGTCTTTCTCCTGGATCGCAGCTACGATCACCTGTGCCCTGGGCTGGGAGGATCTGGGGTGATGGTAAAAGGCAACCTGGTAGCCCTGTGCCTTGCCATCAGTTCTCACCGCACGGGCAAGGATTGCCAGTACAGGTGGCATTGAATCTCCAAGGAACCGAGGCTGTACAAAAGTATCAAAGACAGACGGTGTGTTATCTTCACAGATTTATATTCTTAACTGCTGCTTCCACCAAAGGCGTTTCAGGCCCCTGCTGGCATCCAATAACACTCCTAACTAGTCCCTTTTTCACTGTGTGGCCTGCAGGTAATCCATCGAGCAGCAGTGCGGTAACAGAGGCTTTCGATGTTTGTTAGCTTGAACATAAAGACGTTCCTACCTTCTTGTTGGCTGTTTCAAAGCTGGCAGCGCTGCTACTGCTGCTACTGCTGCTGCTACTGCTGCTTGTTTTGCTGGAAGACTGCGGATCTCTGTATTGCTTCTTTCTGCCATGCTGTCCGAAAAAAGGGAACAAAGCCTTCACTCCTCGATCCGGACCTTTGTCTTTCATGATCGCTATGGATGGGGTCTTGAGCTTTTATCAAAGCTTTGGAGAATTAAAACTGACGATTGTACGACTAAGGAATAACCCAATTCAAATCATTCAATCATTCAACAGGGCGGAAGAGTTTGACATGAGTAAAATGACACTTCACGTCAGTCTTCACAGGTCTTTTTACTATTGACATTTGGAGCTGACAGCCGTGTTTACTGGCCCACATGAGACAGGGAGCACACAGGAGCCTTCAACAGTCAGGCTGATGTTGACGTCCAGCTGATTTGATGACAAATTGATATCTTCACTTTGTGATAGTGTGGAACATTAAATCTCTTGCCCTTCAAGTGGCCCTGAAAGTACAGCGGATTGGTCTCTCCAGATAAGTCCTAGAAGTTACCACTAGCTGTTGTGATTGGAGATCCCCCTGGCGTGGTGATCACAACAGTGTGTCACTTGTTGGTTGGGTTCTAAATTGGTCATAGTTTCCTCATCTTGCTGTTCATTGCACCAGGAGCCTATAATCCTGGTAGATTACAGAATGTGTCATCTGCAAGAGCAACACCAGTCATATGCCCAGTTCCTTAGCTATGCTCCTTGAACTTTGTGCTTGCAAAGTGAAATGAGCCAGGCAGTGTAATGGTGCACTTGTCTGAGCATGCCTGCATGTTATAATGATCTCACGAGAAGAGGAGTCAAATGAGTCCAAGGCTGTATCATTTCACATAGAGAACAGAAAAAGAAAACTTGCCTGATGGATGTGGTGTTTCTTAAATTTGTACATCGCAGGGTTCATAATCTGTGAAAATAAATTAAATGTATTGAATTAATTAATGTATGTAAATGCATAAAATTAAATGTGTTTTTTATTTAATTAATACATTAAATAATAAATTATGTATTAAACCAATATTATAGGACAAGATTAGAAATTCACACACCCTTTGTGTATAAAAGAAAGGGATGTAGAATTACTTTAGTGTCATATTCTAAAAATCAATCTAACACATCTTATAAATAGAAAAATATTTACGGTATACCCTAACATGAATTACAAGGTTCATGGTGTAGGTAACTGAAGTTGTATTTAGTATTGACGCATCAACATGACAACAGTCAAAATGTTCCTGAAAACACAAGGTATTACCTGGCCGCTACCAAGAGAGCTCCTGATGCTCCAGTAATCTCCATTCATCCGGTTCTGCTTCTGGGAATGGAAATTCCTACTGGAACGACTGCTACTGCTGCTGCTGCCACTGCCACTGCTACTGCTGCTACTGCTGCTGCTGCTGCTGCTACTGCTCCTTCTTTGTCTGAGGTTTTTATTTTGATTTTGGTTCTGACTGTGGGTTCTTGGGGACCTCCGCTGGGAGGAGGAGGAGGAGGAGGAGGAGGAGGAGGAAGAGGAAGAGGAAGAGGACGAGGACTTGCGGGTCCGGATTCTCAGGTTCTCCGTACCTGCCCGGAATCTGGAAGAAGAGCTGCTGGAGGAGCTATTGCTTCTCTCTGAGGAACTAGAGGAAGAACTGGAGTCCCCCTGGGTTGCGTTTCTCTGTGAGGAAAGAAGAGGCCTTCTGAGACTTCTTGTCTTGTGTGCTTGGCTCACTTCATACCTCTGACAGCTTACAACACAGAGCAGCCAACCAAACCTGCTGAATTGTTTTACTGCTTTCAGAACACAGCTAGGGCTCGATTATAGCTGTGTACTCGTTTATATTTAGAACAAGCGTAGAAAAATACTTTTAAAAGTACAAGTAACACTGCCATGCTCATAAATTCTAGTATTCAAGTTGTACTGAGCTATCACTGAACCACTGTGAAACAATGAAACAGCAGAACACAAAGGGGCATGTTTTATGCCCCTAAATTACACAATCTTGTTTGCAGCTTTATAAAGAAATAAAATTGATTGAGTACTTTTCCTGTATGGAGGATCTTCTTCAGTTTCAGCAGGACAGTCTTTCCTTGTGCAGCTTCTTCTTCCTTGTCAATGGTCATGTCTTTCAAGGACACCATCTTAATGATCTTGGAAGCAGCTTTTGGTCCAGCCTGGATCTCCATGTGCAGTTTTTCAATTGGTTCTTCAGTGTGAACTACAAACACAGCAAACTCTAATTAGCATTGAGATGGCTAAGCAAGTAAAATAGAATGTTTCTTCATTGTGTTGATTATTTACCTTACAATCTTATCTTGTATTTGAAAAGTAGTATAAAGAAAATAGAAAAGAAAGCCTGAATCATTCATCAGTTCTATGAGTTCTATCTATGCAATTAAAGTACCCTGTCTATAAGCCATGACAGAAACCTTGTATACACAGCTTAGTGACAACATGCACATGAGTAAGACTCATGTTCCAACAACCAATCTAATTGCATCACCACCCAATACTCAAGGACAGGCAACCACACCTTATAGACAAAAAAATCCTATGTGCAAACTATATCCTACCTACCAACTAACACACATTCAGTTACAGTATATGCAATAGGTGAACTATATGCAAAGAGTAAGGCTTATGGGGGAGCCTTTGGAAGCCCCAAGTGATCAATCCGTTGTTACTATGCCCCCTGTCTCAGGTTTGCACCTGGGAGTTAGGAGCAATTTGAAAAAGAATCTCATTTTGAACCACTATGCTATGATTGCTATGAAAGTTTTGTATGTGCACAAAGACAATTTGAAACTTTAAGGATTTCTGTCTCCTACCTTCTGAGATACAAAAGTATGATTAATATAAGGCAGTGAGCATCATACTGTAAACTAGGGCTGGGCGATATTGCCAAAAATGTAGATCACGGTATAATTTTAATTTTGGACAGTAACGATATACATCACAATATAGGATTTTTGCCTCATACTTTCAATAGAACATGCTTTAAAAGGAGTAAAAGACTCGGATAGTGAGTTTTTATTGCCTGGAGTTACCTATTAGGTTATTATTAACTGTTGGTTAGCTACTGTGTTGTTCCTTTAGTATTTTTGAAATTTCACATTGAACTAGTGTGTAGTGTGTAATGTCCTTCCACTGCTGGCTTTACTTGTCATAAGGACAGCGATAAGTTGATGAGCTGAACAAGCTCATCAGAAGAGCAAGCTCTGTCACTGGGTCTGATCTGGCTGAGAGAAGAATGGTGTCCAAACTAGAGGCCATCATTGACAACATCTCCCATCCCCTCAATGACATGCTTGTGAGAATGAAGAGCACATTCAGCAATAGGCTGATCCAACCACGGTGCGATAGGGAGTGCTACAGAAGGTCATTCTTGCCTTCTGCCATAAGACTGCACAACTCATCCACTTTGTGTCTGGGCAGGGGCAACATTGACATTGACCTGTTTTTGGACTAAACAGTAAACTCCCTGCTTACATCTAAAGCTTACAGCTTTTTCCATTTACAACTGTTTTTTGTGCATTATATGCCAGGGACTTGTACAATACATTTATATTTATAATGTGCAATACAACTTTTTGTGTACTGTTCTGGTTTGTTCTTTGTATATTCTGGACGATGAGCAACTCTTCTCAGTGCACCTTTCACTGACTGTACTGATTGTATTGTTGTATTATTTTATCCTTTCGTTACACCGTGCTGTGCTGACTGTGCTAAGCTGCTGTTGCACTGCAATTTCCCACACGGGATCAATAAAGTATCTATCTAATTAATGATGCAGGCAGCAACGTCTGCGTTGTGGCTTTTCTTCTCCCTACAACACTAGAGCTGCTTGATCCGGAGCGCATTCTCGAACTGTCCTCATACTCGCATATATGTTTCGTCTTTAAGTGATAGAAGAGGTTGCTTATATTACCTCTGGCTAAAATCGTCGCCCGACATATATTGTAGATAATCGTTGTTCCCGTCTCGCTAACGCCGCCTTTCTCCGTTTCTCCGCCTATTTGCGTTTGCGGTAGGAACACGTGCGTCTGTTTTCACCGAACAGGGAAGAGGACGCCCGCGTGTTTTTATTGGTCGCAATGGCCTCAATTCTGTCACAAACCGGACGTCTGAACCACTGAAGATCGATCATTCTGAACCAGATTTGCAAATACCAGCAAGATGAATATTTCCAGAATCATATCATTGGAGCTAAAATAAACTATTACGGGTCACTAGTAAAAAATCCGAACCCCGTTTTGCGACGACGCTGGCAGCGCAATCTCTGTAAACATCGAAATCCATTCTCTACCGGTATAAACGGTATAGCCAAATCCATATCGTAACACATATTTCTACCGATATACCGTCTGTACCTGTTATACTGTCAACCACTAATTGTGAACTATCACTACTCCCACAATATCTTACACTTAGAATCTAAAATGTCCATCTGTCCTAGAACATGACAAAAATTGAAAAGGTGAAGGATGATTCATTTTCTATTCCACTCCAATGCTCTGAGAAGATTTTCGTCTGTCATACCAAGATACAGTATATAACCAAAGATGAATAAATTACTGTTACCTGGTTTTAAATCAATGTAGATCATGTGCTTTCCAATAACTTTATATAGAGGGGAATTTCTGATGAAAGCAGCATTCTGGGATTTTTCCTCGTAGCACGCCTGGAATCCAAAGGTTGGGGAAGTAAAGCATAATGTTTTATGTACTGTTGATGAGATGGGATGAGGTCTCTGCTCTGAGTAGTAAGGTGTCTGTGATGATATCATTTCAGATGCTGTTCTTGCCTGTAACAGAGAGAGAGAGACAGCGAGAGTTATAAGATACACTCTGTGTGAGAGATTCTGTGGTGGTAGGTGGATACTTTCACAAGCATAAGGGGAAAAAAGGTTCCTACCATGCCTCTGCTGCGTTCGGTATAGGTTTGTTGTTGCGAGGAGAATTTCTCTTCTGACAGTTTTGCCTGGTTAGATTCTGGCACGATTGGGGTTCGTTTAGCAGATGGCAAATTTTCCACATTTCTGGTCACAGCAAAGGATTCTGCCCTGTTGAGAAAGATTGTATTCAGTCAAATCACTGCTTGCATTGACACTTAATCTGGCAAGAAATGAATTACACCCGAATCCATGGGTATTTATGGGAATATCAGATATTCTTTGCTTCTCGTATCTCTTAGCTCACGGTGGTACTGTACATACTGTAGCTCCTCATAACTAATGCCTAAAGGAGATAATATTTTCTCATAATAATAAAACAAATGTATTGCCAACAGCCCTGCCACTTCCTAGTCTTATATCATCAAGGCACAAAGGCCAGGCAAGGCTGAGCCTGACTAATACTGTGCTGATAGAGCTCCAAGAATAAAACAGACTGCTGCTGTAAGTGGGGACGATGAGCCAGTTTGCAAGCCTGCTCCCCATTATGGACACTGGGAGCACAGATCAGCAGGAGGTGCTGTCTTTCAGATGAGACATTGAACCAAGGTCCCAAAAACCTGTGGTCATTAAAGAGAATACAGTACTAGTACTGTTAACAGTGTTAACTTTGGTGTTACAATTAGAATTTTACTCTTAAAAGTCCCCTCTTAATTTGAATGGTGAAGCCTTTTCTCTGGTGTGCAGTGGGACTGGTGCACAACGGCTGCCGTATATCTCCCGGGAGCATGCTGTACTTCAGTGCTGGCTGAAGGCAGGTCCCCTCCTATATTTAAAGAGCTCTGGGATTTTTCAATATAAAAAGGACTTGCAAGGAAATATCCGCTTTGGAAATAGAATGAAGATGTTTCTGTTATTAGTTTAGAAGGCCTTTTATCCTTTTAAGCTTCTCTGTTTTCAAGAACTGGTGTAACATTTCATTTTTAGTTGTAGTTTTTTTTATACAAACGACGTACCTCATTGAGAAAAGTCGTTCCTGCTGTTGAACAGGTAGGGCTTCAATTTTGAAGTTGCTCTCTTTGATGTCAAGTTTTGCAGCAAACCTCAGTGGAACCTCTGTACGGATCCTGTCATAAATCTCCAGACCAGCCTGAATTAAGTGTGTGTTGACACCCATCACAGCAATGGTGTGCATAGCAATGCTGCAAAGCAAACAGTCAGGAGCTAAAAAATTGGCTATAAAATCAGATCTCTGAGAACAAGGTTTAACAGAGATACCATAAATGAGAAAGAGGTTCTATTTTTCTTGGCTGAATTGCTTACAATTATTTTTGTTTAAATTATGATTAGTACTGGACATCTTAGACTTGGAAGCTACAATTAGTTACTCCTTTCTAATGGGAGGATAATTTCAGCTGAATTCTGTTCAGGGAATCTGTAATAAGGATAGCAAAAACAAGCAAAAAATACATGTACAGTTACACTTATCTGCTACATAATGCCATATCATGGAACAGTATTTTATGTTTGTAAACAACAGAATTGATTTTTGTATGCAAAGAGTGGCGAGGGCGCACAGTGTGCTTCGAGTATCCTCTTGGGTGAGCATAAAATATTTAAAAACAAGTCTTAAGTGAAGAGCAGTCTTCAGTGGTTGTACAGTACAAATGACAATTAAAGTGACAACATGGAAAATATCAGGGAGCTTTTGGGAATTAGGATGATCAAACTGATTGCTAAAGCATATGCATTCCTTAGCACTTCAATTATACTTGACTGGTAATAATTTAAAAAATCCAAGAATGACAGTAAACTGATGGAAATGACTGAATATAATTTCTAAGCATTATTCTTCTGTTATCACAAGCAGATTAGTAAAAAAAATGTAAAGTATACTATATACAGTAAATGTAAAGTGTACTGTATTTTGGAGCATTTTAGATTTCATCAGCCTTACCTGGGTGTTATCTCAGCCTGCATTTGTATGTTGGTGTTCATCAGCTGAGTAATCCTGAAGTTATCAGAAGCAGGAGGTGTGAGGCGGGTTTGGACTTTTATGAACATTGAAACAAAGAAATGAACAAAGAAACGTAAAAAAAAAGAAAAGCAATAAAATCAAAGAAAGGAACCCTATATAAGAAGAAAGCAAAGCATGTCATTTTATATAGCGCTTTCCTGGACACTCCACTCAAAGCGCTTTACAGGTAATGGGGACTCCCCTCCACCACCACCAGGATGATGCGACGGCAGCCATAGTGGGGGATGGGAGATTATTAGGAGGCCATGATTGATAATGTGACCAGGACACCAGGGTTTACCATTTCTACCCTGTGTGTAAAAAATATGGATTTTTAGTGACCACAGAAAGTCATGACCTCAGTTTTGCATCTCATCCAAAGGACAGTGCCTTTTTACAGTATAGTGTCCCCATCACTATACTGGAGCATTAGGACCCACGCAGACCACAGGGTGAGCGCCCCCTACTGGCCCCCCTAGCAACTCTTCCAGCAGCAACCTTAGTTTTTCCCAGGAGGTCTCGCATCCAGGTGCTGGCCAGGCTCACACCTGCTGAACTGCAGTGGGTTACTAATTGTGAGTTGCAGTGTGATATAGCTGCAGGCTGTTACTGTATATTTTCATTTTCCACCTCCTTTTGTGTGCTTGGTCCATACCATTATTTGACAGTTAAAGCAATATCCCGAAGCAGTAAATCAAATAAATGATACTTGAATGAGGCAGTTATTCTCAGCCCATTTATAAGCTTCCAATTCCTGGGTCTCATCTGAATTTAATCTCCTGAGGAACCACTTAGCAGCAAGGCAAGGACATCGCCGTGGCGCCATGTTTGCTTACTGTTGGCTGCAGAGGCAGCCACAGCTGCAGAGTACAGGCCCAGCTCCATGGGAAGGCCGATACATGTCGGGACAATTCGGCGCATTTCGGCAACCATCAGGGGCTTGGACCACTGGAATGTGACCCCGTCCCGCAACAATTTCACCACTTTCTTCACCATATCGTGCTGGTCCAAAGGTCCTGTGGCCGCCTGCAAGACAGCCAGAGTGCACAGCTGAAGCGAATCAGGGCCTTTGTCCATTTTTTAAACTACTACAGTCTTTTTCAAAGTGTCTACACAGAAACAGCAGCAAAAGATTTACTGGATTAAGCGATGATTAAATACTGAGTATTCCTCCAAAAATCAAACACTAGTTAGGTCACTGGGAAATGAATGTTGAAATGATTTCTAAGTCAACACTAATTTTAACATTGAGAATGTGCAGGGAAGAGTCCATGGGTATGTCATGACTGCATTATATTAGATTATTTTACTGTGTCTGCAATTAATGATAATAAAATAGTACAATTATACTGTATAATCATAAACTTTAGCAATAATTGTAATTAATTGTGAAGTCAATCTACTGCAGAGGAAAAGGATACCCTAATTAAAGCTAAAACTAAAATATTCCATCAAGTAATTGTTTTCAGTGACTTGAATTTTTTGCCTCTTAAGGCAATACATGCCTGCATAGCGTCTTCAATGGTATTCTTGTCAAGGGTGCCGAAAGTGATTTCTTGTCCCAAGAACTTCATGTAGACTGATGCCAAGGGTTTGTTGGAAGGGAAGCTTCTCCAGTCTGTGAGCTGTACAGAGACATAAAAACTGTCAACTGGCAAAGGACAAATCCACCATAGAGGACATTCAGCCTGATCTTCACACCATGGTCTTACGTGTGACAGTCAAAGTCACAGCAGTCCTAGACACACTCCTTATTTTCAACAAAATAGAAGTCTTTGGATTTCCTGTGTCTAGTACTTGCCTGGGACCAGGCTAGGATAGGGGATTTAGCAGCCTAAAGTCATTTTCCCAAACCTGAGTCTCATGGAACTCTGTCACTAACTTATCAGTCCTGCCATCCTGTCATCTGTGATGACACTCTCTGGGTGTATGGATATCTACTCCAAGAGCCTCCTGGGGAGGTCTGTTACATATGTATTATCTATGTACTTATAGTTTGAATTACAATTTCACTTTTTCAAGCAGAAATCTGCTGCAAGAATATGAACCATTGAATAATGTTCTCGATAGTAAAGTAAAATATAAACTGAGAGGTTTTCTAATGTTTTCCAATTCAACTTTCACAAGGCAATAATATAACTAACATTTTGTGGAAAAAAAACTTTTTCATGAACATACTGTATCCTTATTCAAAATGTTTCAAAATATTACTTCACATATTTAAATTGAATTTGATGTGAAACTATAATATATGCATTTCCCTGTAAATGTGTACTAGCAGGGAGACCACTAAGATCCAGTTCATCTGACACCATGTATTACCCAAACTCTACTACTGTATATCTGTTTTTTTTATTTCATTTTTGTCATTTGAATTGTTCATATGTAACACACGAAATAACACTGAGAAATGGGGTTTAACAATATGAGAAATCGTGTTCAACAACAGTTGAACTTGGCAATTGACTGAAAGGAAGGAATTTTATTAATAAACTTACTGCTTTCAGGATACGTTGTTTTTTGTCTATCTCCTCAGAATCAGTTGCCGCTTGGCGCTTCAAGAGGGCCTCTTGAATCCCTTCTGCTCGGATGCCAAACTAGGTTAGAAAAATCACACCATTTCTCAGATTGTTTTTAAAAATTTGCAGTGAACAATTGGTCTTTATGATACCCACCTAATTTGGAATGCCTATGTTTTAAGATTCAGCTCTTTGGCAGTCTTACTCACTCCAGTAGAGGATGAGAGTTGTGAACGTACAGTATGTTCCTTCAACACAGCTACTTGCATGACTGTTTGTTATCTGAGATGTTGTAAGTGACTGGTAGGAGAGGTAGCAGTGATTGGAGGGGCTGGAGACTCTCCCACTGACATCACTGCAAGCTTGCAGGTGCACAGTAAGTGTCACGTCCTCTGCAGTCAGAGGGCGCTCCTACTCTGTCCTGTCCCTAGTTTCCTGCTTTGCTGTCCTTCTGGTTTCCCTCTTCCGTTGGGCTATATATTTCCGGGTCACTTATTCTGCCTCGCTCGGCATTGACGTTCGGATGTCCTGAGACTCGCCTAGCACCAGGTCACCCCACGTCCGCTATCTAAGGGCACAGGTTTCTATACGGCACTCCAGAACTCTTTGCGCTGACGAGCCCGGGCTAACTCCCCGTTCCGCTGCCTCGTATAGGGTCTTTTTTCTCTCTCCTGCCTCTCCACGGTTTGTCCCTTCCGACATCCGTGACAGTAAGTTGCAGTGAGTCCTTACTGACTAATTCCAGCTCTGTGGCTCTGAACTTGCAATATCTGAGCTGTAGACGTCAACTTGTGCTCCATGCTAGGTGGGTTGGGGAACTTTTCCTGGATTTCAATCTATTCAAATAAGACCGATATGATTTCTTTCTTACCTCTGCAAGATCTGCTGCTGCTCCAGAGAAGTAACCTCGGATTTTAGAAATCAAAGCTCTGGGCAAGATGCTCACAGCGTCGTTGATGATGAACACATTGGCAGCAGCTCCTGCCATTAGCTCGGCTGGTCAGAAGAAACACAGATCATGATTGAAACACAAATCGTGAATGAAATTGTGTTCCTTGTACAAAGAGAGACTTTTTGATAATAAAGCTGGCTTTAGGTGCTTTGTGGATGAACTCTGTACAATCCCAGTGTATATTCCTGTCCTATATTCCACCATCCAATGACAGGTATGAGCCAAGAAACTCAAAGGAAAACTAGAATAAATATCTGTCTTGCCAGTCTCCTGACATACCTGTTTGTATATTTGTTTGTTGATTGTTCTGACTGCAAAATCAAAAGGTCGACCACAGGAAAGTACATAACTTCTAGTATGTTGCACCCTCCTCGGGACACACAAACACTTGATCATGCTGTGGTGTGTAAGCTTGGCCTGCTGCCCTTCTGATTGAGTTGAAAGGTTCCGACAAACCAGGTTTCACAAAGTAACGTGCTGTGGTGGTGGTAGGAAAATACTGTAAAGGCTGTGTGCCATCAGCTGTCTGCAGGGTATAGGCTGTCCCTGTATAGTGGTCAGGACATCTGCCACTAGTGTGACCAACCAGCAAAGGATCAATGAATGTAAACAGGGACTGAGAACAGGAAATTCCTAAAAGGTTGTGGGAGTATAGAACAGGCTAGACAACTATGTTGTTGTAGTTGAATTCATGGCTTCTTTTAACAATTGCCTGTATGAGATCCTCAAATCAATAAAGCACTAAGTACCCAACAGGCTGGATAGGCACACATTTGTAGCCTACCATTGTTTAAATGGACAAAACATAATTTTGCCTTCAAGCAGCATGATTAACTTTCAGTTCCATGCACTAATCCTGTGTTGTGAGTTTGATCGTGGTCTCCTACAAATGCCACCTCACATGAGTGTACCAAAGCATTATTCTTTATGTGCATTTTGCTTTTGTATACAGTATATTAAAGACTTCTACTCACTTTTGAAAATATCCATATGAATGGCCTTGCTGTAGCGGTAGCTCATCCTGTCTAGTTTACGGTTCAGGAGTTTCACAGCAACATTGCAAGCAGAAGCACTTTAAGAAGAGAAAAGCAGTTATTGAACACACAACACAAGTTATTACACACTAAAGCCCTAGAGACAAGAGGATCTTATATCAACAAGTCAGAGAGGCAGAAAGACAAAACTCCACTGGATTCTTACACTGGGCCATAATCAGGAGAGCTGCTCCTTGCCAGAGCCTTCATGTGGGAGTAGGTGAAGCTGGCCACCTGCAGGCTGGTCTCCTTCAGTAGGGCATCAGCAAGAGTTGTCACCAGAGCCATGGTGGGCTTGGTCTCAAACAGGACGATACAGGCCACCATACGGACCTCAGGGTGGAGCTCTCTGTTCATAAACAGTTGCAGAGCCACTTCCTGGACCTGGACGACATCAGAGACGCACACACTCCAGTACTGTCACTGAGGACCAATCAAAGTTCACCAAGACATGTCACAAGTCTATAGAGTCCAGGTCATAAAGTCTGAGCTCTGAAGGTAGTACCTAGTTTCAGACCCAAAAAATTATGTTCAGTATCACGCACATTTTTCTACGCTTTGCTTTCTTTGACAACGCCTTACTTACATGTACACTAAAAAATTCAATGTTTTTACTTCCACTCTGGGTATCATACTATTCAACCATTCATGCAAAATTCTAACATATTCTAACATTCTATTTGCCCTTTTTATTGCTTACACAGTTTGAAATACATAGTGTAGCAACAACAATAGCTTCCTCCAGCTTTGTGTTTTACCTTCTTGTATCTATAGTTTATGTTTCTGGTACTTTCCAGTAACCTTCAGAACGTGTCTATATTAAATGCTATTACAGGTGTTCCTAAAGTAGTGTTGTAGTAATGTATACTGTACATTGAAGGTGTTTTCCCAGTCCTGGAAAGCATGTCAGGTGTTTAGCTCTATCACTACCATCCAATATTAAGGTTCCTGTACTTTCTTCTCACCTTCTTGCGATCCTGTTTTGCAATGTTCCTCAGGGCCATCACTGCATCGACCTGGATTTTGACCGGCAGGTGCGAGGCTCCGGAGGAGAATCCCGGCAGGAACTTTGTGATGCGCTTGATGCTGGATGGCTGACCTGCGTTCCCAATGGCCTTCAGTGCCAGGACGATCTCCTCTTGGTGGCCTCTGCTAGCAGCTTCAGCAGCAAAGTTGTGAAGGGGCTGAAACCAGCGAGATGATGAAGTGTGATGCTCTTAATAACAGTCATAATAAGACACCACAGAAACTGGGAGCAGCAATCGCTTACCTCTAAAAGGCTGTCAGGGCAGCTGTCATGCTTCTGACAGTAACTGTGCACCAAAGACCCATAACCAAGAAGGCATACTTTGCGCAGGATAGGTTCTTGCTGAACATGGCGATTGTGAACAAGCTCCTAGAATAAGAATCATAGAGGAGTTTAGAAATGGACTCAATGCTCTTAATAAGACTCATTACATGATGTTGGTCAAAGTGTCCTCTTACAGCAGCAATGTTCAAGTTGTCATGGTTGACGTATGACTGGTACAAAGCAGTCAGAAGAGCCTGAGTGGCTTCCATCAATGTAAGTTGATCATTCTGGATCAGCTCCTTAATGAACCTCAGAGCACTGGAGGTTCCTGTGGCAGGAACCGAATCCAAAACCCAGCGTCTACACAAAAGAAATGAAACAGGGGCTGTATTTCTCTAGTGAATTGAACAAGTGACAAAAAGCCCTATGGAAATTAAGGAAAAAATAACACTTTTATTCACTACAATATTCAGAATTCCGTTATGCTTATGCTGTACATCTAGAAAAATTCTTCGCTAAATTTATTTTCATAATGCTTGACACAAGCTGATATTAGTTCCTTCCTACAGAGGAAACTTTTACTTTTAAACAGGTACCTGTAGTCTTGTTTCCCTTTAAACTGCTTCCAGATGGCCTGTATGTTCTGATAGCTGGCAATGCGGAGCATTTGGACTAAGTTCATGAACTTCAATGGGGCGTCTTCGTGAACCTGCTGTTGATTGTTCTGAACCAGATGTCCCAGTATCTCTACAATCTGTCAATCACAGCCAGGAAGCACATTTTACCAAACACATAAAACATTACTGAAACATAACCTTTTAACATATCATAAATTGAATAGGATCTGAGCACCACACAAATATGTTTTAAATTTTTGGCATGAATACGAAGCGTGACTTTCTTGAACTACCTGTCTTACCTAAAGTCCGTTGAATCATTTAAAGTTTACCTGGGTCTCTGGGTTCCGGTTCCGGAAGAGTTGAATGGGCATCTGGAGGATTTCAGAGGAAAATTCATACCTCAAGGTCCCTCTCTTTTGGTATTCTGATTCCCCAGGTTGAACAGGGGAGTTCCGAATCTCCTGGAAAATGAGATTTTGTCTGGAAAGCACAAAAACATGAACTAGTCAAAACAGAATTAGGGATGACAAACAAATGTGTTTGAATGCATGAAGATTTCAAAACAACCAATGAAGATACAAGATATTAGCTTCCATTTACAGTAACTGTAGTTTAGCACCAAGCACACCCAATAAAATAACACGTTTCCACTTCCTACATGCATAACTGCTGTACCTTGCTTCCAGTTGAGCAGCTCCGGTCATTTCGTTGAAAGGTGTAAACTGATGGAGCTCCTGGGCTGTAACCTCAATGATCAAGGCGTCAGAGTCTGTGGGCTTCAGGATGTAACTGTAGGCAGCAGCTCCTCTGAGACTCTTTCCTCTCTGAACAGAGATGCAAAATTGTGAGACCCAGAGAACTGGGGATAATAGGGAATCCTTCAGCGCTCAGAATGTTTCTTACCTGCTGACAATGGGCACAATGTTCTATTTCCTCCATGCCAATGTCTTTCACTATTTTGTCATTGCAGTCGCTCAAGTCCTTGGACTTGGTGACACTGATGCGCCCTCTCTTCTGATCCTCACGGATGATGTATTCTGTTTTGCAGACTCCTTGCACTCCATCCTGGAAGACAGAAACCGTGGATGTGATGACTGCAATCTTCCATAGGATTTGCAATACTGTCTCAGATGGAGAGATGTTGTGTCCTTTACCTCTTGCAGCTCGTACACGTTCTGGCTCTTCTTGATGTTTAGATGCAGCATGTTGAGGATGCCTTTGAAGATGTTCAGCACAGTCTCAGAAACTTCAGAGGGAGCATAAATCCGACCCACCCGGCCGCTGTCATACTCAAACTTGATGGGGGTGGTGAGCTGAGGGGCCAGTGCCTGAGTGAGTCTGGAAGCTGATACAAACTGATCCTTGGGCCAGATTCCATTGTACTCTGATAGCTGAGGCTCCAACAGCTAGAAAGAAAGAAATAGAGCCAATATATTGAATTACACAATAAATACTGTTTTCTTCTTTTGAATCAATTTGATATCTGCATAAGTGATTTAGGATTATTTTGGAAATGAATAAATGCCTTTCAAATATAACTAGGCGTACCATTTTTCCTAAAATATTTTGAGAAGTGTAGATAATACTGTAATAGAACACTTCCTTTTCAATTTTAATCTATATGGTATCAGTTAAACTGTTCATCTAGGGCTGACTGTCCAACACACCTGATCTCTTAACAACTCATAATCTGTTTCTCATATGCTGAAAATGAACACCACAGCATCTACAAATATAGTGTATCCTCTGCAAATCGAGTGCCAGTGTGTTGAAAAAATGGCATATTTTTATTCTATGAGACAGAGAGTATCTGAAAGACAACAAAGACCCACTTCACTCCTAGTTTGACTATACTGTATAACAGTAATGCAAAGCTATTGTTCTTTTAGGGTTGAAATCATTTAGGCATTTGATTTTTACAAATGAAAAGTTTCAGATGCATATATATCTGAGGATAGATAGTACACTAACAAAATACCCCATTCAACAAACGAGACTGGAACCTAACAGTTTCCTTAAAATATCAGCTTACTAGCACTTAGAAACCATACACTTTTTGTGCAAATGTTTTCTAGATAGCTGTGTTGTTATAACAGTGTGTATAAACAACTGTTTACTTTTACCATTGGATGAAATAAGCATTTCATTGCACTTGTGCATATGACAATAAACTGAACAGTTCAGGAAGGAGTGAAAATGTTAAATTCAATGGTTCAGATTTTAAGGGAAAGTTTTACATTTTACTTTCTATTGATTTTCTTTTACTTGGTTAAACACAATTTACAAAATCTAAATTTGGAGCTATACAAAATGTTCACCATAATTTGCAATACTGCAACATGTGCTAGGGCTTTGCATGTATATTTGTACCAGGAGGCTATTCAGTCATCTCTCTCCTGTCATCTCAGCCTGTCGTTCTGTCATCTCAGAAAAATATTTATTATGAAGTCAATCCATTTAAAAACCACATAAATGGGCAAATGAGTTATAAATGGCGGCAGAAAAAAAACACAAATGCATCAGGTGGTCCTCTAACTGCTTGTGTGTGTTGGATAAGGACTGTGGTTGCATTTTGGAGGTCATGCTTTGGAGTCACGACTGAACAAGATAAAGTGTAAAGACTTTACATCCAGAGAGATGAATCCGCTTCAGCAAAGAAATTCCCTGTAATGTGTCATTGCAACAATATCATTGGCTTTTGTGTGTGAGGATAGTAGCAGCTTTACCTTGATTAAATAGGTCTTCTGAGCAATTCCACTGATCACCACTTTAGAGTTGATCTTTAGTCCAGCTCGAGCTAGGCCCGCGGTGGGAAGACCAGCCAGCATGACACCTTCATACTTGTACACGTAGGTTCTACTTGCGCTGAAGTCTGGCTCTGCAATGTCAAAATGTCAAAATTATATAAAAGATGTAGATAGTGTTACACTGGGAAATTAAGCAATGAAATGAAGCATTCGTATTGTCATTGGTGAATGCCATCGGCCTTATTAAAATGAATAAGAATGTTAAGTTGAACTCTCTGAAATGATGTAGCACAATGTTAATTAGGAAATGTTTTTTTAGAGAAAGGGAGTTTCGTAACAATTTTCGTGTTCAGAGATGTAATTAAGCTGATTGTTAAGAAGAGGTGTGAATAACATCATGTATTAAAATAATTTCCTGTTCTATGGTACACAGACCCAATTCACTACCCCGTGTTTTCAATGTTTTATTAGAAAATAATGCATAAGTTTCAAAAAGCAATTTCATTTCAATGGAGAACAGCGATTTCAACTTTGGGAAATGCATCTTTTAAATACTCACCTATATTCACCTGTTGACTAGCTGCAAGAGAACAAAAAGATCAGTTTGAATAAAGATGTTGTTTTCTGGTGATATTTTACATTAAAATTTTCTGTTTCAGCCCAGTGTAGGTCCACTCAGAATTAATAATTAAGAACTAAAAAATCACATCTACAGTATGTGTCTTTACTCTATTAACCATGATCTGAAAACCTTTCTGTGATGTGTAATACATGTCTACAATCTGCAGTATTGCACATACAGTATGATCTACAGTATGTATGTCTCACTTCTACTTTTAAACATATTCTATTAAACTTTACTCCTTACCTGCTGTTAAAGACTTTCTTTTCCTTTCTCCTTTCTGCCTTACCTTCACACTCGGTAAGACTTTCAATATGCATTCATTATATAAGCACATTTTATTGCAATGCATAATATAACACGATAAAATGAAGCAAAAGAAATGATCAGTGCATCATCACTTACCCACAAGGGCTAGCGTTAGTGTGAGGACAATCAGTTTCATGGTCGGTAGTGAAGCACAGTTTCCACAGGCATCCCTTATAAAGCCTTTTTTTTTGGCGGGACAGTTATGTATTTTAAGGTATGTTTATTTTTGCCATCTACACTTTATTGTCAATTTGCCAGTTGGTCCGAAAAAGATTCCAAAATTGCAGCATCAATCAAATATGTTGATTGTGCAGAATTATCTGATACTGAAGTGGTCAGAGTGTCTTCGAGATTAGGGTGACCTGGCCTGTCGTATGTCTTTCCTGGTTACGACAGGTACAATGTCCATTACAATACAATGTCCATTTTGTATTCCCTTTTGGGAGCTTCACTGCATCTTTGCCAGAGAATGCGTCATCTAAATATTACAATTATTTTTTATTTAAAACTGGAATTGTTTAGCTGGCATTGCATTTAAGATGTAAAGGCTCTCATATCATCAACATATGTGTAACATTTCTGCATGTACAGTAGGTGTGTAGGACTTTGCAATGTGAAATCAGATATAGGTTTAATAGGTTCAGAGTAGCAGAATAGCATAGCACAGCTCATAACCTAGACACCTGTATTGTAGGCTAGTCCTGTGATATTAATAAATTCAGGAACTGCTTCGTTCTAGTAGATAAACGTCTTTATATTCTATATAGTCTATTAAAAAGGAGTAGAAAATAAAATACTAATTTTGTTTGAACTAATGCAAATCATTAACCGTGAGCAAAATGGCCACACATCAGTATATTACATTAAATATTAGGAGGTCCACTGTCAATTTCTGTACAAATACACAGCAGATCAATTAGAATTTGTAACAGACAAGTAGTAAATAAAAAACTGTCATAATGTTCATTTTTCTGTGAGCTCTGAAAACATTCTAAATAACCTCTTTTAATAATCATACAATTAACTTGAAATTAAACAAAGGAACTTTGTACAAGAAGAATTACAAAGCTTATACATGTACTGTACTGTATATAGCTTATATATATTATAATGGCTCAATTTTACACCAGCACATTGTGCCCCTGGTAAATAATCAAACAGATTTGTTTGTTATGAAAGGCAATGCAGCCTTACAGCAGGGGGTAATTTTACCAACTATACCTTCTATTATTTTCATGAATATACAGTAATTTTTAGACTTAAGGTGAAAAGGCCTTAAAAAACAACCTTGTACTTTGTACTTGTTAAAACCTTAATATTTGTTTAAGGTGTCACCATGTATCAGTTTAACAGTTTGTATAGGGTCAAAATGACCATCAGCTCATGGCTATAGAGATAAATAATTGCTGAAGACATCATTTTGCATTCTGGACAAATACACTCACAGCCATTTAAGTCAATAGAATTTCTGGTGAAACTGTTAATTCATCTACCTTTTTTGGAAAGGTTATAGTTTATTTTTCACTCTTATTAAAGTAGCTACTTACTGTTGTAATTTCAGATCTGGTGCATTTCTGAATTACACTAAATGTTTCTACATACAGTATCACACATGGTAGTGGTGTATTGAGTACAGGTGGTTCCAAAGAATTCCTTGAGTTTATTTTGTTGCCTGACATTCAGTATTTCATTTCAAAGAGAGATATCCTTATAAATCACACTATTAAACTTTCCTGAGTGTATTTAATTTGAAAGGCATTACTTTTAAATTACCCAGTTATAACTGGTGTGCTTAAAACTCAACTGGACTTCAAGCAAAGCTCTCGTACAAAATAAAAAAATACATACAGTAAAAGCCATTAACGGGAATTAGATGTTTGCTTGGAAGTGCCTTCAATGTTACCGGCACAATATCACAGTATTCTTTAGGCATGTTTGTTAGTAAAAAAATCTAAACCAAGTTTCGAATTGAGCACTGTATTCTTCTATTCTGCTACTGATATCATACAAATATTTAATTTGAAATGATTGCTTCGAAACTGTTTGTAGCGGAAAAAAATATAACATGGACTCTAACCTGTCTCTCCACTTCTCAGACAGGTGGATGACTCAGGAGACAGTCTGCCTGCAAGGGGACATGGTGACATCACCATCCCTGGTCGCTTAAGGTTTCTGGAAAAAGAGCACATGTAAAGTAATGTGCAGCAGAGGGAGTCCTTACCTAACAAAGACTAGGAAAGGGACTGTATTGGAACCTCAAAGCATGTTATTATTTTAAAGTCTTACAGTGAATTTACACCTAATGAGTTATAATGCCTTCTCACATTTATTTTGGTAAAACTAAAATGTAAAGCTCTTTGTCCTGAATGCCAGTTAATTCAAGGAGGCCTGATTTTCACCTTATTTATAAGGTCTTAATATTAATAATGCCCATCTGTGTGCCGTACTTTTACCTTAAATACTGTACTGTAATCATTTTTCATAATAATCTGGCACTCACATCAAAACATCATTAAGAAAACCGGACACAATAGCTTAAAATATTTTTTGAGAAACTCAGTAACATGATTGCTAGGTTTTATATACTGTACCATGGAGAACAGTTCTAAAGATGACAATGAAATAGGCAGATGTTAAGAAAGTCATAAAGCAAGACTTAGACTACATCCCAAATACAAACCAACATGAAAATTCAAAGCAGAACCTAAAGATCACTGAAGCTGTGATTTATTTCAGAATAACAACATTTGTTTGTGAGGTTCCTTGGACAGGTACTGAATTTTAAGAAGAGACAATACCATGAAGATTACTGTAACTTAATTTCAAAGCAAGTCATCAAAGTTCAAACCTATTGAGAAATTATGGAAAGGTTTGTAATCAACTGCTGTCCATAGCCGATCCCCAAGCAATTAGAGAGAGCTTGAGGTAATGTACCATCAAAATGGGCAGAAATTACACAAACTGCTGTGTAAAATTGGTAGGATGTTACACCCAAAATACTTGATTAAAATGGTTAGATGTTTTTCAAACTGTCCTTCCACCAAATATTGAGTTCACTGGTCTGAATACTGGACCAACCAACATATTTTAGTTTTTGTTGACTTTTACTGTGACTTACAGTATTTTACCCTTGGAAGTCTTCAGTTTGAGCTTTCAAGTTTTCAACAAAGTATAAAGTTTAAACAAACATATACATCTGTAAAAGAGCTGGCTTGTTCTTTCCTGGCAGAAATTATACTACCCCCTAAATATTTTTTTTTAATATTCTTTGTGGCTTTAGGGCCTATGGAAGCCTGTTTCTGCCAGGGAGTAAAAAAAACGCGCTATGGTATCTCCCAATTGCAACTTTGTATCTCAGAATTCTGACTTTAAATCTTAGAATTCGGACTTTAAATCTCAGAATTCCGACTTTATATCTCAGAATTCCGACTTTATATCTCAGAATTCCGACTTTATATCTCGCAATTGCGACTTTTCATTTCACATTTGCAACTTCGAAATGACCCACATGTCATTGTCTGTCCTTTTGTTGTTGTAATGGATTCGTGTTTCAGGGCCTGTGCCCTCACTGCTCCCACCCAAGTCCCCTAGCAGGGGAGGGCGGTGCTGTCACCACATTGCAACCAGATCGTACTGTGCAACCTGTATGTCGGCCGTTCCGTTATACTATATTCATAAATCTTACAGGATCACAGGATCTATAGGCCTGAAGACTTGTCTTGTACAGTGCCCTGATAAAAATCAAATTAATTACACTAGTTTTTATGGAATCTCATTTCCGCCAAGGAGGATTCCATAGAAGTCGGATGGAATAGTGGACGGTGGGCTTTTTGAAAGGTTTTTATTTAAACACCAGAAATACAAAAAAGGAGACAGAATATTAAAAAAAGATACAGAAATAGACACTTCACATCCAGAGGAATTCACAGTTATAAAAGCTGAAACTTATACTTTTTACATATTTCCATTGTATGTCTTGCCTTTGGATTCTTTAAATGTCTAATAGAATCTTGAAACAATTTTGGTACAATTCCTTTTTTACTTAAAAAAGAAAGTCTTCTTTAGCTCAGCTGGCAAGACCCGGGTTCGAGCCAATGCAGTGAGGTACGAACTAGGGTGGGAGCGGCAAGGGCACAAGCCCTAGAACCCAAATCCGTTACAATAAAAAAAGGACAGACAATGACATGTGGGCTATTTCGAAGTTGCAAATGTGAAATAAGAAGTCGCAATTGCGAGATATAAAGTGGCAATTCTAAGATTTGAAGTCGCAATTCTGAGATATAAAGTCGCAATTGTGAGTTTTTTTTACTCCCTGGCGGAAACGGGCTTCCACAGTGGCCAGAGATTAGTCATGAAGGTGGATTTTTTTCCCCCAAAAAAGAGAAAATAATTGTTAGTGATTGACACCATTGAGTCCATACGTAGGCTGCCTCTTCTTTCCAAGAGTTATACGTTTATGCAGTTCTACTAGATTGAGAGCACCTGTGTTTAACAGGGATTCCCATGCAAATCTCCTTTTCCCACTTCCCAATTGTGCACATAGAACAGTCCTCTGAAAAGTTAAATGAAGGGTTTTGGAGCTCCTCTGGTGACTTTAGGCAGATATCTCTCCAGCAGCCACCTTGCCACAACATCATTTTTAAGTTAATAAAATAGGACACTACAGGAATAAATACTTTGAATACTTTTGCCAGGCACTGTAAGTATTAGTTCCTGCTGTCTGAACATAGTTAAGTCTATGATATTTTTTGCAGCTTCTCCAACCTTGATAAAGTGCTCAAATGTCTTTATTTTGATTGCTTCAGTATTGTATTGAATATTTTGGAACTGGTCAAAAGCAGGGACTTCATAATCATGTAATAGGTAATTGCTTCTCTGTCATAAGTGTCTGCTCTTTGCTTTGCTGTTGAATAGTGCTTCCTTGAACAGATATTTAATGCCACACATTTCGTAATCTCTGTTTGCTCAAAGCATAACAAAACAAGAATAAGGAAAAAAGGACAAATCTACTGCTGAAGAACAATTGGAAGCAATCCAAGTTCCTCTGGGGTGAGCTCATCTTCTGTAAGAGGCTCAGTTTACCTCTACCTCTTTTAAATTTGCCAGAGCAATTTTCTACTTGATCCGGAACCTTTAATTTGGTTTATTTTCCCTTATGTTTTCATGAAACCTCAAGCTACTGTACAGTATATCACCTGACAACACAAACTGGTAAAATGAAGACAAAGTGGAATACATCAATGATTTATTTTCCTTAAACTTGGCTTGGACCTTTCCCCAGCTCTCAATAAGATTCATTTTTCACACTGCTCCTTTCAGATACATACGATTACAGATAGTAAGAATTTACAGCTTCTCACATGTCTCCTGAATTTGTTCCTCAGATTCCCATTTCAATGGATGCTTCTTCTCACAACTCACAGGCCCTTTCTTTTCTTTGTTTGATATCCTTTTGCACCCTTCCACTCTCTCCTTCAAACCTGAAAAGGGTTCAGTTGCCAAAATGTTGTTTCTTCTTTCCACCTTAGAATTAAACTCTTCTTAGAATTAACCTTTTTTTCACATTTTCAGCTCACATGCTGACACAGCTCCCCTGTCACAATTCACTCCTGTCAGGGACACACAGCGTTCTGCCAGGGCAGCACCAAGACATCCAATGACAAGGAACAGGAAGAAAACACACAAAACCAAACAGCAAGCAAATGAAGCACAGTCAAGCTGCTTCAAAATAAGTGGATGGAAAACAATTGAGTTTCTTGAATCAGATTTTCTTTAAACAATGACACAGCACGACTTTAAAATCATTTTTATTTTTTAGCAATGTTATTAAAAAAGCTTGTGGTTCGTTTTTTGGGTGGAGCAGGCATTTGAAATAAAGAGCTGAAAACCCATGGCATTTTTCTAAAATGCAGGTACAGTTTATGTATAGTCACGCTGAAAAAATAAAGAGAGGACTTTCACGCTGAAAAAATAAAGAGAGGACTTAACACTGCCAATACTGTGTGGAGGAACATTTTTCTCTATGTAAAAATAATCTTCACATGCAATTACTGTAGAACCATATATAGTAATTACATAAAAATGTTGGTAATTACTGTTCATATCGATTTCTCTTTAATTAGACAAAAGTAGAGATCCTCACCAAACTTTGTGTAATATATAATTATATTGTACTGTATATTATAGACTTATTAAATTAGAAGGATAATTCAATTAAAAATGCCTAAAGCAACATAATGGCAATCCCCAAGGATATATTATTATATCTCTGTAATGATAAATAAAAAATGATTTAACACAAATCATAGGAGAAAGTTGAAGGTACTGTATACTGTAGGTTTTTACACATGTCTGGCAAACATTCTTTAAAAACATTTTGGAATACAATTCAGTAAGCCTTCAACAATTAATCTTAGATTCATAAAGAGCTCATCAGTCACTGTGGATTGGATCCTGATCCAACAGAAGCACAAGAACGACAAACTTAGAAATAATTGCAGAGAAAGTTTATTGTGTCACAAGACAGGCGAACATAATGTTGTGGATGGATCCAATACCAGTACATTTATCACTTCTTCATCATTTAAATTCTTAAATTGAAATTCCTCAATTCTTCTCAGATCAGATCTTCAATGCTCAGGGTTATTTAGACAGCAGGACAGCGGTTAGCTGGGCAGGAACACTCAGTGTGAGCAAGAAAAGAGTCCTCTATGTCTTCATTCTTCTCTGCAAAACTGTTGTAATCTCCTCTATTGACAGTGGTCTCTGCAAGAAGAAATATATATAAGAATTCTGTACTAATGTTGAAGCAGTGTTCCAGTTCCACTTCAAAACTCATGGTAAATTGAAAACCGTTTGCTCCTGAACCCTGATTTTGACCATGCCTGTGTCATACATGTGACATTGTTAATATGTGACGCTTAGACTGATTTAATATAACACCTTAGACTGATTTAAACGATCAAGGGAAACTGATTTAAGATCTCATTAAATTACGTCTGTTTAAATTGCTTGAAGATTAAAGCATGGGATTTCTATTAAAGAGAAATCAGGAGGTTCTCAATGGCAATCTAAATGACTTTGTCATTATCATATACTGTATGCAAACCAGATTTCAAACATGATTATTATTGAATAGAACCTTTGAAAAAGAGTAAATTTGGAGGAAAACACTAAAGTCCCGAGGAAAAACATAATAGAACAGATTTCTCAAAACATTTCAGAAAACCTGACTGATCTAACGTGGCTACAAAATGGCACAATGGATGTACAGTCTTCCTTGTATTTCAAGGCGGATCCTTGACCGATCTCGGGTACAGAAAAAAGATCCTCCAACAGATTTATGTCTTTCCAAACACACTCTTGACTCTGGGCATGACGCCCATTTGGGTCTTAGCTTAACACCCTTGAAATTGAAGATATTATCTGCCGTGCCTAGCCAGCAAGTTCTGGCTCAGGTTCTTAAAGTATGGCTGATTTTTGTGCACAGCGGGGTTTTTAGTCATCAGCTGCCTTCAAGACCCCTGCAGGAACGCAACTGTGCCTGTGAGCAAGAATGGTTTTTATTGGCCTCCAGTTTCAACATCATGTGCCGCACGAGAAGCTGCATTTTGATCATTTTTAATGCTCATGCTTTGGAATTTCTCATCCATTGTCATAACTAACTAAATAACATTACAGTCTTCCTTGACACACACAGTATATTCTCAAGACCTATCATAGCTCACCCTGATTATAAGAGGCTTTTGAGAAATCTGTAACATTGTATACCATTTTTTTCAATGTTTTTAACAATTTTTTTCAATGTGCGTCTTGGCAGCTCAGTCCTACTGTACCTGCTGGGAGGCAGTGGAAGCCGATGGTGACTGGTGTGGTTTGAGTAGGTGAGCAGTTTGGAGCACAGCGCAGCACAGGCTGAGTGGAGTAACACCGGGACTCTTCGCCAACCATTGACACTACTTTTCCCAATTCAACGTGCTCGGGCTGGAACTGGCATTCTGAAAGGACATTCACAATTCACCCTCACCTTACTGGGATACTGTATTACTAAATGGAGAATCAACAACTATTGATTTGCACGGAAAAGATTAAAGAATGCACATGATTTGCAGTCACTTTGCAGGTGGCTTTTCCCAGTAAAATATCCGCCTTGTGAGTTATCGCATCACACATACCAAAGGCATACTAATTACTTTAGTAGTGCATCTCTGTCTGTCTGTGAGTCTCTTTGCCCTGTAATAGACTGGCATCTGATCTAGGGTGAATCCTGCCTTGCACCAGTTGTTTGTGGGGATAGTCTCTGCTCCACAACGATCCTGAAATGGCTAGAAGTTGTCAAAACGTGTTTTTCAGCTGAGATAAACGCGTTTTTGCAAACTTCAGCATCCCAGTGTAACTACTTGGGCCAGAAGAGCATTTATTATTATCAATAAGAATGTCCAGATGCATGACTTGGCTGAAGATGAAAGATTAAAAAAAAAGTCAAATTAAAAAACAAGAATCCTGAATCACTAATTTTCACAGTGTAGTGCTCTGTTTAGATTTTGGTATCAACTGCATTCTTGCAAACTGCAGTTTTTTTACATGCACTCAGGAAACAGGAAATGCTACTGTACATGACAATACAGCCTGATTATTTGCTCTTGCTGTTTCCATTATGAGAGTGTGTGACCGAACACAAAGAAACAGACCCTTTTGAAATGATTCCAGGGCTGGTATCGGGCTCTACCTTTATCGCAGTTTTCATCAGGGGATATCCAGGAATGAGCGAAGCTGGACGCAGATTTGGTGACTCGGCCATCTGGCATGCGGAACTCCTTCTTCGTCTCCCCGTCGTTGTGACCGCACATTCCACAGGTCTTCCCCTTCATGGTATAGCCCACCTTGACCTGGGTCTTCCTCCCATCGAAATACAGCTTCTCCAGGCCATACTTCTCAGCTTTCAACACCAGTCCCTGACCTTCCTTGTCGATGTGGATCATGCCTGCGTAATGTATTTGTCAGGTTTTAGAAACAAAAGAGGTCAGTAACAAGCAGTCCAAAGAGCCTTTCACATCCTACAATGGCAAAAGAACTATCGTGCACCCAGTGTATGTTCCTAAATGTGTTTTACACATCAAAACAAAGCCAAATGGGGTCTCCCATTTTCCTAAGTGTCTCAGTCGGAAAAAAAAGAGCTCATCCGAGCAGGTTAATGTCTATGGTACAGGCATCATGAGTTGAACATGGGTTGTAGGAGTATAGAAAAAGTTACCCAGCCATGTTGTTGACGCTGATACTCTGGCTTCTTTCAAAAAATGGCTAGATGAGATCCTTGGATCAAACCAGCTGAATGGGGTGAATGGCCCAAATGGCTACCACTTAGCTTGTTGGCTATGGTTCGTACATCAGTCTGACTCCGGGTCATGTCCCTAGCTGTCTGTGACAGGGAACCCCCCAACTGTCAGCGCACAATCGGATCAGCACCATCAAGGGTAAAGTTGGGCTTAGTTGGCCAGGGCTCCCTCTGCAGCCTCTTCAAATGTTCAGGCCATACTGACTTGCCCTCTCCTCTCTATTAATCCATTAGAACCTTCACAGCTTTCTTGAACATCTTCCACAAACTTCTCAAGTTTGGGTCTCCCAAACGTCAGGAAATAGTGCTAATTATCATTAATTATTACTGCTTATTTAAAATGGATGAAGATAGATAATTTGCATTCAAACTGCATTAGCTCAGCTATTCTTACTTCACCAATAGTTCACACTTGCAGCTGTGATATTCTACTAACCTTCTGGGTCACTGAATGGGAGGTTACTGGATGGTATTTTGTTATCATTGAATATCAGCCTAAGTGCCCCACTGGTTGAAGGTAGCATTTCGATATCACTGTTTGTAAAACAAAAAACAAAAAACAAATCTGTTACAACCAAGTGCAAGACAAACATGAATCAGTTGAGTTTTATATCAAACTTAAAGATACCATCAGATACTGCCATCTGTGACAAATTTAAGAAATATTAATGATTATGATAAAAAATTTTTTTATCTGCCTGCAAAACTAATTCAAAGCCTTTGACTTTTAATTTTGTATGTATTATGTATTTCCTTTTGTCTATGAGTTTAGAACGGATTCCATTACAATTTAACTAAAAATAATCCAAAGACAATCTAAACGTCTGTGTCCAATCTACATTATCTCCTCAGATCACGGCACGAATCTGAAAACGTAGTCAAACTCCAGTTCGCCGAATCTCCTGCTCACTGGGGTCTAAATAGGTGACATTTGTCTTTCCTTTCCAGTGTTCTTTGCTCAAGCAATCCAACCGCAAACCTACTGCCACTGCCACCAGCAAGAAAGCAACAGTTTATTTCTACATGGTTTACAGAAGGTTCGCTATTCCTTGCCCGTAATTTGGCTATCGTCCCTCGGCTGAAGTGGGTTAAACCAAACATTCTTGGAGCTTCATTCAAACAAATGCTGTAGTATGTAATGGTCTTGTCTATATCTTCTGGGAAAGTCAAAAAGCAAAACAGGGTGTGGAAGACCGAGTGAAAAGGTCAAGACAGTGACTATGCGCGGGAAAGGATTTCTGTTTGCACCTAAGACCACTGTCCTAGGTACAAACTAAAGCCTGTGATTCCTTACACCCATTCAACCAGAGAGAAATGAAACATATTGCAGGATGCCAAATGGCATCTTCCTGTCCTGTTTGTTTGACTTCTGACACTGCCCCTTTCCCTGTATGTTCCTTTGATATGTTAAAGTCTTGCTTACTTTTAATGTATAAAAAGGAAAGTGTGACTTCAGTCTAGGGAGCATGTCTTGAGTGCTAGGGGAAACCCTTTTTCTGTGATATGCTCCCCTTCAGCTGATTGAATTAAAGATCTCTGTTGACAATCTCCTAACCTAAGTGAAGACAGAGTTCTCTTCAACAAGAGGTATACCGTGCATTTGTTTTCTTGTTCTAAACTTACTTGTTATGGATTTGAGCTCTCACAACATAGAGACTTTGAGACACAGTAGCCCGCTTGATCTGGACTATAAACTTGGGTCTGGAGCGACAGTCTTGGGCCAGAATGTGATAGCAGCTGCGAGGCATGTCATAAGAGAACCTGACGTCGTTGAAGGTCACGACCTTCGACCCGTGCACCGAGCACTGCGCTGTGGATAGCAAAAGGAAAGAGTTTTGAGGACAAAATCATACTGAAAAAATTCTATCAACGACAATTAGTTTCTCTTGCAGTGTTGGTGAAGAGCGACTGCCACTTCATGATCAAGTTCTTTGTTTGCTACTTGACAAAATCTCATTTTGACAACAGCAACAAAACACAATTCATGTGAATTACTCTGTTATTTAAAGGAGTGTGAGATCATTAATTCCTTATTCTTTATTATAGTCTATAACTGTTTTTAAAGTTAATAAAAATAGCGACTTGGAAATGAGGCAATGAGAAATTTAACTGTGTATGCTGCCTGTTGGAGTGAATAGCAGCACTATCATTATTACGGGTACACAATAAGCACGTCCATTCTTTTTTTAGAAGAAGTAAGAAAATGATAGGTAAAGAAAAGTAAATACAAAGAAAGAAGAAGAAGAAGTTTAGAATGTGATTCTAAACTGATTCCAATAAGTATTCCTTTTAAGAAAGGCTAAATGTTAAATGCATAGTAATTAATTATGACAATATTTGTGTATAAATCTAATTATCTGGGAAAAAATGTATATGTTTACATAATGGATTGATACTGGAGCATTTTGTATTGATAACCTGATAAGTCATAAAATGATAAAATGTGTAATTCCATTTAGTTTGGTCTGGCAGAAATTGTTGAAAGACTAGATTAGGGCCTCTCTGGAGAGCTGTTAAAGGTCTACAGGAATTGTAGACCTTACATGTCTTTTCCTTATGTAGTAAGAAAAAAGCCTGCATTTCATAAAGAATGTCTTATAAATTTTAACCACATGATCTTCGTTGAATAACAGATTATGGGTTGGTACTTGCTTACTAATAATACCCTAGTATCTCCAATGAGCATTTCTGATAAAAAGTTCCAGCATAGGCTAGACTGCAAAATACATAGGCATATCTTTATTCTAGTGGATGATTTACATTTTGTAGACTCGGCCAGCATGATTGGAACTTCACTGAGGCTGTGTAAGAGACCAAGTGGTTTCTGCATCTCATCAATGGGCCCATAAGGCATTGCAACAGGCACGGGCACAGCTTGCTTGCAGAGAGCCATCTGAAATCAATTTTACAAATAAATTCATGCTTGACGATTTGCTGATTGATGATTTTAAAATTAACAATTTCTTTGCATTTCCAAAAACAGATAGGAGACTCCAAAATACATCTTCACTGCAAATGTGATTTGAAACATTAGCGCTATCGATGTTCTTGATCATAAGAGTTTAATCAACTTTAGTTGTTAGCAATAATCAAAGCAAATATGCAAAGGAAAAATATAATGATAATAATACCAATTAATTACAGCAATTAATTATATTTTATTTTTCTGTAGGTAAAACAGAAAGATGTTGGGATAACTTACAACAAAGGTTATTAATTTAAAGGCCTTAATTATTTTAAGATTTTTTCTTGTACTTGTACACCGAAATATTATAAATATACAAATGTAGGATCCTACCCTGGGTGTCTTTATAAACAAATCGACAGTCCTTGGTGAAGACATTGCAATGTACAAGGCTAACTGTTTTGATGTGTGCTTGTGCCATTTTTGAGAAAATCCCAGCATTAATGCAGCTCCAGGTACATATTCTGCCATTCTGAAATGAAAAAAACAACAACAATGTAAGTAAGTACACCTTTACTGAGTTACCATTGTTGGGCAGGCAGTGCAGTGGCTGCGTGGCTAAGGATCTGCGCCTGTGGCTGGAAGGTTGCCGGTTCGTATCCCGTGGTTGGCAGAGGAATCCTATTCTGTTGGGCCCCTGAGCAAGGCCCTTAACCCCAACTGCTCCAGGGGTGCCGTATAAATGGCCGACACTGTGCTCTGATCCCAAGCTTGTCTCTCCCCATTGGTGTGCCTCATGGAGAGCAAGCTGGGGTATGTGAAAAGACAAATTCCTAATATATGAAATCGTATATGGCCAATGAAGTGATCTTATCTTAAAGATAGCACCTTACCTTAGAAGATTAACTCAGAGACATACTGAAATCTACAGATGGATTTCAACACTTCAAAGCTTATTTTGGTCCTAACGGACATACAAGAAAACAATTTTATTGTTGTGACTCACTTCATACTTAAAAATCTTAAAATGTACAATGATTTTAAAATAGCATATTTACATATTTCATTAAAAAGAGATTATGCTCTCATGGTTATTTCCCAAATGTATGTGGTAAGGTAATACCCCATTATTTTTTCCCCGACCCTCTGATTTCAAACTTACAGTGTTTTGACTAAAGGAGTTTATAACAGAAGTTCAGGAGGAAGGTTAGACCATGATCTTACTCGCATTCACTCTCCTATGTATATAAGTCTTGCACCCAGTTCTATCCTTCACACATCTATATTGCATCCCATCTGCCACTCTATCTACACCCTTCCAGCAGCTCCCTAGCTCATTCCTCACAATAGTGAGGATGGGTTTGGGCAGCCTCCTCCTTGTAGCTAAGGTGCCATTCCCTCAGCTAGTCAAGTCACTCAAATACCCTCCACACATCCCATCCCTCCAATTTTGTTCATTAGGATCTAATCAAACTATTGATTATTTCAGCAGTTTTTTTTAACAGATAAGTACATACGTCTCTCCAGCATATTTCATAGCACGTGGAATCTTCCACCACTTGGCTTTAACTTGCAGAGCAGGATGAGTTGCTATGCGCCCAGTCGCTGCCTTCACTGCTACCTTATACTCTCGGCACTCCTGACCCCACCTCACCAGCGCCTGCAGAAGCAGAAACAGAACATCACAACACAGTCAAAGCCTATTGAAGAGGAAGCTGGACTGACACGAACCAAGATACACTACATACTGTACTGTTTGTGTCACAGGGTTTCAGGTTTTAAATAAGAGACATAAGAAAGCTCTATCAACACAATGCCATCATTTTTCTATACCATTATAGAATATACCCTAGGATATAACCTGGACTGGAACCCAGCCCATCACATGAGAAAAGGGCGAGGCTAGTGGCCTTACCAGCGCTTTGTAGTCATTGTGAAGCTCAGCATCAGCGCACACTTGCCACTTGTCCTTGCTGTTGATTTCGATGGCCAGGGCCTGCACCCTGGGCTTCGACAGAGTGGTGTCAGCATAGACAGCCAACTGGTAACCCTGCTGCAGCCCGTCACTTCTCCTGGCCCGAGCCACAACGGCGAACAGAGGAGAGGTTGAGTCTCCCAGGAACTTGAACTGCAATGCAAAGCAGGAAAAAGCATGTACTCACATACAGTGAAAGAGAGCGCTTCATGACAATAAATAAAGCACGTTCTACATAGGAAGCAAATATGCAAACATAGGAAGTATGTGTTGCCTGGCTTTCCCCATTCAGCTCTTATATTCTGTAGCTCACTGTTCTCTGAAATCAATCCCTTTATCAGTGGAAACACATTTGGAAACACCAACAAAGTTAAGCCTTTAAATTACACATTAATGTATTTCACATTTCACCATTGATTTCAATACATATCAACAATAAAATATTATAAAATAAGAAGGAAAGGAAAGAGATTTACAATTTAAATCTAACCGTGAAACATGGTGAAGAGTTTATGTTTGTGAATGTGCATATCTTCCAAGTTCAGCTTGTTTTGTTATCTGATGTATGATCAAATGCTAGATACGAAAGAGTCCTTTTTGTGAGAAGAATGAATGACAGGAGCCGTCTTAGACTGAGACACAAGTTTTGCAATAGAGAATTTAAGGGAGGAATCCAGAATACAGTTACAGTCTGCAGCTAATTCTGAGAGCAGGAAACAAATACAAATCTTTAGCACAGTGGGGTACAGAAAGTGCAGCCAAATTGAACTGGCTTGTTAAAAGGCTCTCCCATCACTACAACACAACAAAGATCAGCAGTAATGTGAGAGGCATTAAGGAGCATAGTTCCATGCACAAGACTTCCTGTGTGTCTAACCCTAGCACAGAAGGTTCAATGGAAAAGAACCTCACCCACTCCTCCCAGATATGGAAATGGTACAAGACAAAATCATGCACCCTATGAACATGCAGTTTGGGCATTACATGTTTGCAAATTATTTCAAGATCATTCAACTCTTTAACACTCCAGCTCGGAATTTACTCAGTGTATGCCTGACAATTTTTTTTGCCTATCTTATAATTTGGGAGAATTTTAATATTTCTGCTTTGCATAAGAGCAATGACTAATTAACAGCAGTGCTTCAGCATTACCTCACTTGAGCAGCTCAGAAAATACATTTGAAAGGGTGAGAGTACAATTATTATTATTTTGGCATTTGGGAATAGAATGGCTGTATTATGGATCTTCACATCCCTAAACTTAACACCCCACATTTTTCTTTCAATGTATTTCTCCTATGCATCACAAGGATATCATATCAGCAGGTATAAAGCTATTAACAGCTAATTGTGTGGGAATTGTTATCTCCTTTAACAGCATTAAACCATCAAGGTTTGCAATGATGATACTATTCAATAGCTATTTAACAAACCTCTGGTTTTGAGGCCAAGCTGGATTCACTGCTAGATGAACTACTTGAACTGGATGAAGAAGTGAAGGGTCTTGCATTGCCAGGATCACCTTGAAGCTGTACACCATATAAGAAAGAAACACTGTCAAGGGAAATCATTTTACACAAGGAAATTTCACAATTGTTTTTAAAACAATTTGCCACTCTTTTTGGTGACGTTTAAGTCACTACAGTTATGGGTTTGTAAATGCAAAATTTGTTTCAGTATATTACTACATAGGAAGCACATTAAATGTAATTTTTTAGGTCTATTTCAAATCTTAGATCCAGCTTTACAAACTTTAGGTGACATAAACACATAGAAGAAAGTCTTACCAGGTGCCCATGGGCCTTGAAACGTAGGTTGAAGTTATCAGCTCTACCTCTGTACTGTAGGAGACACAAAGACAAATTGCAGTTGGTTTGTGTCCATACTTTAAACAAAAGGTGGAATTTACAAGAATATAGCAACTTAAAAACTGATAGTAATTTCTAGTTATAGTTAACAGTTATAGTGTAGCTTAGTACATACTTATGACAGGTTATCATGGTATATTTACCAAAGGATTTGTAATGTTTTACCATGGTTTTGCTGCGGATTGACCTAAGACTTACTGTCGTTTTTCTACAATTTCGCCATGCTTTACAACACTGTGCCAGAAAGTTTATCAAAGACCGCATTTATGATCATATATTTAATTTACTAACTCTGGGAATAGTCTATTTCTTTAAGAGAAATAAATACTCTGAAATTTAATGATTTGATCATAGAGACATAAGATATT